AGCAGGGACAAATTCAGTGCCACACTGCAGGGCAAAGAAGGAGGACATGCCAGGCCGAGCTGTGTGCTGCCATCTCATATGCCACCATTGACCTGGTCCAATCATTTAACAGGCCTGATCCAACCCATGGGCTGTAAATTGCTGGCCCCTTGCTTAAAACATGTCACAGGTAAAAGCAGGGGAGACGAAAGCATTTTCAGTATCCTGCCACTGCAATGATAGGGAAGTAGTTTATTCACATATACTTGTAATATCCTAGAAAAAGGTTCTTGTCCCATGTTAGAGAAGGGGGCAAAAAGTCTCACAGTCCTTGACAGTCTGACCATGGGGAAAATTCCCTCCTGACCAAATTTAGTGAGTGATATGATCCTGAAAGGAAGAGCAAGACCCTCGAACCAGGAATGACTTGGCCTACATATCCCTCTTGTTTAAACCAGCTGGAAGAGAGGAACAAATAAACTAATGTCTATTGAAACATGAAGCACGGAACAGAACTGGCTGCCTGAAACCACATTTAGAATAGACCAGTTGTTGGCACCCTTTTCTGGATGCAGGCCAGAATGACTTAGCTCAGTTCAGAGGCAGGCAGAGTGTGCAGGTGCTATTACCTGACTGCCACCACTTCTCCCCATCAGCATGGGAAAAAATGCCTACTTCCACGACTTCTCCCTGCCACGGCAAGGGTGAAACACTTGCCACTGAACACCACTGAAGTCCTACACCTCTGAGCTGGATCCAACGGCTCTGCAGGCCAAATATGGCCTGTGAGCTATAGATTCCCAACTCCTGGAGTAGATGTTTTATATTAGTCAGCTGAGAAAAGCACCAGGAGGACTAATGCACATTTTATCATGCTTCCACAATGAAGGAGTGCAACCATCATCTGTAACGTGTGCAGAAACTAGAAATGTTAGATCCTTTATGCCTCTAGTTGTAGCCATGGTCAAGAACACTTGCTCCTACCCACATGGTGATGGGGATGACTTCCTCTTTATCATGAGCTTTTCAATACCTATCCATACCTTATCAACTACAGACTAGTCTGGTATAATATACTTTACATAGCGCTTCATGTTGAGACCACGCTGCAAGTGATCTGTCTAAGAGCTCATACTCCAGTTCCTAGAAGTTAATCTATGGAGACCATTAGACTAGTGATTTGGCATGTGTGCTGGATTCCTACAGGTCTGCAGTTGTAATTCAGTGATGATGCTAACCTGCAATATCTTAAGTGGTTTAGAATCTGGTTGCTTTAGAAACTGCGTGTCTCCTTTTGATTCACTGTATGTCTAAGTTTTCTTAGGTAATAGGCATTTGACTCTGCTGATAGTATCAGCAAAGGTAGACTGTCTGAGTTTTCTAAAATTACCATTTTTAACACAAAAAGTTAACCCAAAAGATCATTTTCATCATTGCTTACCCATCCAGTTCTTAGGGTTTCATAGGGTTTAGGAGACAGTTCTAAGGAGAGCTCTAGAGAACAATAATATGCTATCAACTTGAGTCCTAGTCTGTGTAATCATGATTCTTGACTATGTTGGTACAAATAGAGCTGGTACAAGTAGATACAAAGCAATTAAATAATTATGGGTTATTCACTTTACTTGTAGATTTCTGAAAAGGCTTTGTTCTCAATGATCGCTTATGGTTTTCCACCAAGGACAAAATACCATTAACATCCCAGATCATTCCCTTGTCTGAACCTTGGGAAGGCTTTATTATTTGACAGCAAGAGCTCATTTGGGACTAGGAACCTATATTGCTCCTAAATTTGGCAGATCAAGACACAGGCCCTGTACCTCTGCATTGGCTCTGAGACCTCCAACTCTGCTTTGAGACCTTTGGTGAAAAGGCTCTTTGGAAAAGGTAATGTGGCTTGGTGCTGTAATAGATTGACTGTACGGAGGCTAGAGGAAAAGGGAGTATATCCCTACTGTACACGTAATTCATATATGCCTTCTACTGTCCTGCTTCATCTCCCTACTTGCATATCACAGGGCCCACAATGGGCTGGATCCAAAAAGAAGTTCCCCTAACACTCATTTTCAGCCAAAAAGGGTGTGCTGGGATATTCATTTGTAGACACCAGGGATGATAATCTGGAGCATTATCTTTCTCATGACCATAAGGTGCCTGCCATAAACTGCTCTCATTTTAATACAACAACTATATTAAATTGGGTCCTGTCAGGCACCATAGTTTCCCAGAAAAAGATCTGTCAGGCTACAGTGACAACAATGAAAGAGATAGCAATTGTCTGCTAGCTTGTAGTAGTAAATTGAAAGAGTCAGTTAAAGCAGTCACTGATTCCTCGCATTTCAGTTTGTTCATTATTGACATACTGTAGGCATTCAAGAGGATCTGATGAATAGCACCATGATTCACATGCTTTATTTCCTTGGGTTTTAAGATTAACATTTCTTGGCAACCTAACAGCGTTATATTCCATCTTCTGTAGGTAATAATTTCTGATGGTAGAATACCCAAACACTTCATTATTAGAAGAAACTAGAATAGTCTGAAAATTTGGAAGAATTCTTATTATATACATCTGTACATGCACATTTGGTTTTGATTACACAGTATGCCAGACAGCTACAAAAACAAAGAGTAGACCATTATAGATTTAATAACACTTGATACTTTGGATTTCACTTATCCTGAAAGAAAGTGATCCCTTTGGCTTTTCATGAAAGCCTATTCTCAGTTGAGTATACAGTAAATGTGGGTAATATCACCCGACTGCTTTACTATTACTGCATACTTAAGGGAATACTATCCACTTGAAATCTAGTCAGTTGCAAAAAGTGTGTTAAAAGTAGTTGCAGATATTATATATCCACCAAGTTCCTCTCCTAATTTTATATGGTTTTACAATGACATTTTTCTCCTTTCCAAAATATGTTTTCATCCCCTCATTGCAAGAAAAAACAATACAGGCAACCTCCGCTTAGCGCTCTTAATTGGTTCCTGAAAAACTGACTGTTAAGTGAAATGAGTGTTAAGCAAAACCAAAAGTATTTGACAACCCAAGATGGCGACCACAATTGTTTTTAGTCACCCAAAATGGTGACCACAAGTGTTATAACGAAACATGCTCACTGCTAAGTGAAATCAAGTATGAATTTCAAATGAGCATTATAGTGAAATAGCGCTAAGTGAAATAGTGTTAAGTGGGGGGTTGCTTGTAAGCATCATGAAGAAAACCAATGATACCCAAAGTGGTATGTCACACACAAAGTAAATACGTTGTAAAACAGAGAAAATTATATAATTTAAACATGTTTCAGTTATAATAACTCTAGATCAGGAGTCAACAACCTATGGCCTGAGAGCACAAAGGACTGACATGAGATGGGGTAGCATGGGGAATTGGGTGGTATATAGATGTTCTGTGCTGCCTGTTCCTTCCCACTGTGCCTCCCTCTGCAGCCTGATGTACGCGTGATGGGGTTTAGTCCTCAGGGTTTTACTCTATGCCTCCTAAATTAAAACAGTGGGTTTTTAATTGAAAACCATTTCAGTTTTTCTATCACGTTACAATGAGGGGCCTGATCCTCTCTTTTTTTTTCTGTTAGAGTTGGAGCCTGCCCATAGCCAGAAGGTGAGCTGCCAGCGGGCCGAGTGTCCCCTGAGCTGTGAGGGATCCTGGTCTTTCCCTTTTGTGGCAATGATGCCACCTGGGGCTGCCTGGGCAGGCTGCTAGGTGGTCGGGTGGTGCCCCAGCTCGGTGGCAGCACCTGGTCCAATCCAACTGTTCCCCAACCGCAAGCTGGGGCAGCACCTGGCTCACTAGCAGCCAGCCTGGGTGGCCCTTGGGTTGATGCCGCTGCAGAGGAAAGGACTGAAGTGCCCTGCAGCTCAGGGGCCACTTAGCCCACCAGCAATTTGCCCCCCTTCCTGCACCAGCTGTAGGGGAGGCAGGCAGGCTCCACCCAAAAACAAACAAACAAAAGGATTGGGCCCCTCTCCACTTTTGCAGGCTCCTGGGGCAGTGCAGGAAGGCAGCAGGAGGGCAGCTGGGTTTGCTGGCAGCTGGACAAGGAGGCAGGAATGGTGGAAGTCCAGGCTGGCTGCTAGCTGGCCGGGTGCTGCTCTAGCTTGGAGGCAGAGCCACCTGATCCAACGCTTCCCTGAGCTGAACTGGGCTTCCAGTGCCCTGTGCATCTTCTCCACTGCCTTCTCCGACTGCCAGCAAACCCAGTCACTCTCCTGCTGCCTTCCTCCATTGCCCCAGGGGCAAGCCAGCTACAGGAACCTGCTGAAAGCAGAAGTGGCGAGGGGCCCAATCGTTTTCTTCTGCAGAACCTGCCTGCCTCTCCTGTGGCCAGAGAGTGAGCTGATAGCTGCAGCATTGCAGTTTGCAAGGATGCAAATTCATTTAAATCTCCAAAACTCTTGCACGTGTACACTGTGATGCCATTAAGCCACACAAAATGACATTTTCATCATGTGTACATGGTAATGGCATCATGTGTACAAGTGCCCTTGGGTGCTCATGGATGCAAAGGTTTCTGGTCCATACCAGGGGACTGAGTCACAAACTCTGGTCCATGGCAGCAAAAGGTTGTTGACCCCTTGTGAATGTGTTTCTTATACGGTATTTTCTTGCATACCGCATGCCAGTCCTTCCTGCTACAGCATGGGCTCATCAGGGCTGAATGCTCAAAGGCTGGTGCCAATTCGGCAGCAGCTGTGACAGGTTTAAAATTTGAGTTTAGGAGCTGGAGGGAGCAGGTGAGTGATGTTGAGAACTGAACTTGGCCCTTCCTCCTTCATGCATCTGGAAAGGAAAAACAGGACCCAGTATCCATTCCAGAATCCCCATCCCTCCATTTTGGTGCATATATCAGCTTCCTTACTTAAAACACACACCCTGATTTTGGAGGGCTGATTTTTGAGAGAAAAAGTGCATATGGTATGTGAGTAAATGCAATAACAATGTTTGGTAGTCAGATACATATGACCTTTAATTGACAGAATATATTTAAGAGACATACCTTGAAAGAAACTTTTGACTCGGAGATAGCTGACGCTGAGGCGCAAGACAGAAAGTTTGTCCAATTTAGATATTATGTCAGGTGGGAAAGGCAGGAGGCTGGCTAGATGATCTAATTCAGCATTCAGACGGTCCCTATGTCTCTTTGAAGGATTAGATTTTTCATTCCCAACTGTAGGCCTTCTGTGGGTAGAAAAATGATTATTTATCTACTGTTACACCTCTCGTAGTGTGTTATGACATCTACATCCTATCACTTGATGAAAGATGCATATAGATTATCTTCTAGGTGAATTCTGAAATATCTGTCTTTTACCATAGTTATTTAAAAAAATTGCCATTGTTTGTCATCTTCAGTATACGAAGGCATTAAAACATTGTCCCCCTGTCTCCAGCCTCACAGTAGGAAATAGGTGAAGAGATGATCTCTTCTACTCAGAAGTGCATTACAAATGTATTGGGATAAAAATGTGCAATTCCCACTTCCTAACACGTCATAAAATTCTGTTTCTCATCCCCATAGTGTCAGCATGGGAGAGAGCAGCAGGGGGAAAATATTTAATCAGTGAACATAATGAATCAAAGTCTAAGGATCAGATGGAACCCTGCTTGGCACAGGGGATGGTTAAGAAATGGGTCTTTTTGTATTAGTGCACACAAAACGGCCAGGGAATAGTATGAGGTGTTATTTCCTTGCCAGGACTAAGAACTCTTTTATGTACCTGCAGAGAACATGTATTTGCATTCTGTGACACAAGGGTCACAGTCAGGTTTGTGTCTACTTTGCTCCTCTACCTACAGTCCAAACACTATTCCTAAAGCAACATTTTCAAGTTTTTAATCTCTGTAACATTCCTTGACACTTAAAAAAATGCTTGAAGAAAGGAACTTCAGAAAAGAGTCAACAACACAAGATGGATTAAGAGGGAACGATAAAGCCATTTTTTATTTCTGAATTGGTCCCACAAAAAAATTGATTTATTTCCTAAAATTAAAAGCATGAATTTTTCAGCACCAAAAAACTTAAAACAGATGGATCAATTTACTCTAAATGTGCCAAAAATATCATATCAACCTGGAGACCTTTCACATCAAATGGAAGGTTGTGGGGAAGTTCAATGGAGCAAGAATTAGAGGTTAGACAGGCCAAAATACGGCAACTTTAGCTACAACACTATGAATTCACTACAGGGCAATTCCAGAAGTATGACTATAAAAGAATGGGATCAAATCACAAAGAAGTTTTTGCATATTCTTAAATAAGCAAAACTAACCTTGAACCTAGAGAAGTGAAGGGAAATGCTATAATCAAACCCTTTAAGTCATATTATAGGCTGCCATGGGAGTTTATATGCCCTTGATATCTCTGGGAAGGCACCACACAAAATTACAGTAGCTCTTTATGCCACCTCCCCTCCAGCCCAGTCCCACCCATAGTATGACTATAGGCCAGGCTTTGCAGGTACCCTACTCATAATGCCTTTAACAAAAAAATTCACCACCTCCTTCCTTTCCCTCCTTTATTTGCTAGAGAAGCAAATAAATCCTCTGGTGAAGGCCGTAATATGCTTATTTTACACTAATTAAAAATAAAACAAGCAAAGAACAAAAGTCATTCCAAATGAAATAAGGCTCCTTTTAAAAGGTTGCCACTCAAAACTGGACAGGAGGGGGTTCCTTTGGCCTCACATGGTATTCCAAGAGTGTCAAATAGTCCAGGTGCTGGGTAGCTTGCTCAACTAGTCAGAGCCAGTGTCCAGAAATTGCAATACAATATGTGCTGCCACCATTGCTCAACCTCACAATGGTCACGCTCAGTTTTTACCTTATTAGGCTGCCAAAATTTTCCTGAGCGACACCAATGCAGGAAGGGGAATGGCACCTTGTAATGGTTTATGTTTGTGGAAAAAGCTGAATGGAATTTCCTGGGACAAAGAAAAGGTGCTTCCCTAGCTTAAGGGATTTTCCTTGGCTGAATGTTAAAGGCATGTAGCAGACACTAGAGGCCTGCAAAAAAGAAAGAAAAAGTTGAAAGAATAATTTATGATGGGAAGTCATAGGTATGACAAGTTTCTTTTGTGTTGACTGCACAGTTTGCAGTTAACCTAGAAGATTGCTATCAGATGTGGGAAGCCTTGGAATGGTCTTCTGAGCAAAGTAGTAGGAACAAAGCACCTGAGCCACTGGATAAGTTTATGGAAGAGGTGACATGATAGGATAAGGCGCTATTATCTCAATAATCTGCATTTATGATATGTGGAATCAAGTATTTGCAGTCCTTGTGTGTGGGTACAGAGGTCTGGTGCAGTCAGCATCTAGCAGTTCTATGATTCAGGGCTTATTTTGGTTATTTGTAGAAGCCAGGAAGGATTTTTTTCCCGTCATGAATGTTCCTGTTTTTTCTGTTTCAGTTTTGCCTTCCTCTGAAGTACTGCGGCACTGGCCGCAGCAAAGACTAGGGCAAGAAGTGGTGAGATTTGACTGAATGGTACTGATATTCCTGTCTGATCTTAGAAAATTCAGAGGTTCCTAGATGGAAAGTCTTGCTCTTCCACTCAGAGTCTTGTTCATCCCAAGATCTGGGTTCAACAAGGAATTTTTCCCTAATTCAGATTCACAAACTCCACAGGTTATGTCTTCCTCTATAGTGCGGCAGCAATGGTCCTAATCAGGAGTCTCTGAGAATACATTAACCAATTACTTTTCTATCATTGCTTTGGCATGGCACTAGTAGTGTCCTTGTCTCTCTTGTTTTTGCCTATGGCAGATAGTAAGGTGGTTTTTGGTGTTTTCAGTTTTGTGCCTTGTAGTTGTGTGTAAGGGTTTGAAGTGGTTATTTTGGGGAATCCTTGGATAAATAGTTACCTCCAAACACACAGGACTAAAATAGATGATTATATGTCCCTAGGTCCTTATCAAAGGCTGCGGAGAAAGGACTGTTCCTGTATCTACTTTAAATGAAGTTATGGGTGGTAGAGAAACGAAGGTAGAGTGAAAGTTAATTGCAGCATCTTATTGATATATTATCAATGATCATACTACTTATGTTTGCTCTGTTTCTCAGTCACTCAAATTGTGAAGCTCAAAAATGTACAGTGTTGGAGAAAAAGTTTTAATTATAACATTTTTAGTCCTCTTCTACAAGTAACTGACAAATATTTATAACCTCATCCGGAATTTTAAAAAATGTTCTGTGTAAGAATTAGCAATAAGTAGGAATTAGAATTTGTATGTGATTCCTGAGTTTCGCAGGGAGGTTTCATAGTTGGTAGGGTTGGAAGGGACCTGAGCAGATCATCAAGTCCGACCCCCTGCCATGGCAGAAAAGAGTACTGGGGTCAAACTACCCTGGAAAGGTGTTCATCCAGCATCCTTTCAAAGACCCCCAGGGTAGGAGCCAGCACCACTTCTCTTGGAAGTTGGTTCCAGATCCTAGCCACCCTGACAGGGAAGTCGCGCCTCCTGATGTCTAGT